GAATTATCCCCCCATTCTAGGCTATTCTGACTTGAAATAAGCCATGTACGTTCTTTTCTTAATTCTTTCATTGTAAATCTAGACCTCATTAATTCAGTCACAACTGAGACTATAACTCCTCAAGATGGTAGAGTTGTGGAGAATTCAGCAATAAATCAGAAGTAACATACTCAGGTGACACGAAGTGTTCGACTGCTACAAATTCACTAGGTAGAACTGTACTTGTTCAAAAAATGTGAGGAGGGCATTTTTGCTTTGCCAACAAAGGCATAATCTATTCTCCTGTGGCCAGCATAAAACCAGCAACCATTTTTGTTTTCTGATTAATTGCAAAAAAATGTGATCACTTAGCTATGCTCAATCCACATAAAATATACGGCTGGGTGATCTACAGCCCTGGAGGAAACAACCATTTCAGCCTTCATTTCTCTCACATCTCCCTGCAAGTAGGTGTAATGTAACATCTGAGCCATAACAATGACTTCTCCAGATCCTACCTTATAAGAAGTCATCAAAAATCAGCAAGAAATTGCCAAACCAAAAACCAGATTAAAGAACACTATGAAGACCCTTCACCTTTCCTCTCCACTTAGTAAATTTAAGAGTTATCAATCTTGTAAAAGTAGTAGTTCAGTCAAAGTTCTCAATTCCTATCAAGCAGTTTTCTGATATCCTGAAGTATTTGTCTGGAATTTTTCTTGTGTAATTATTTAAAAGAGAAATTAGTCTAACACAGTCACCAAGGTCTCTAGCATCAGTAGAAAGATACTGGTTCCTCCAGAGGGCAATCTACCCTACAGACACTTCTTTTAGGGCGGGTCAAATCACACCCTGTTTGTGCCTTTCTCTCGTCATTCCCATTAGAGGGGCTGAATACAGTTTGCTTGAGTGAATATCTGATTTCTGAATGCCTCAAGCTTGGTAATACATATCCCAGTCCTTGTACCTAAAGGCTATGGATATTAGTGGTGGTAAAGCGGAAAGCAATGTGTAGACCTCCAGTGTCTAGAAGACTTAGACTACTTGTTTTCCCCCAACATAAATAGGAGGACTGATGGGCCCTAATAAATAAAAACATTATGACAAAGCCATCCCACTCACCCCTACCTTTCCTCCACACCCTTTAGAAGAACCTCATAAAGATGTAAGTAGTGCTCTGCTTAAGCAAGCAAGCACTGAAAGATGCTGAATACCTGCAACTTTGATACTACTCATCAGGTTAAACTCTGATGTCCTTATACTATTTATTCATGCAAATTCTAGTGTGCCAAATGCTAAGGAGTGCTGAATGGCTGCTCAGTGGGAGTTGTGGCTGCTCAGAACCTCCATGGAATTGGCATATAAACTCCAGCCTGGATTTTGCTTTCAGGAAAAACAAATAAAACCAACAGTCAGTCAGGCAGGGTGTGCTTCCCTCCCCACTTCATGAGCTGGCCTGGTGAAAATTCCTGGTGCTTATTGAAACCATCATCTGATGTCACTTGACACCACAGGGGAAAATATAAATCAAAGTGTAAGTATTCAGCACTCTCTCAGCATTGGGCTAATGTGATTAATGTAATCTAAAGTAAACACTTTACTTATTCCTTATTACTGTGAGGGACCCAAATCAAGGGTTGGGACTTGTTATTCTAGGTAATGTGAAAAACAAGCCCTACCCATGAGATCTCCAAGACTAAGATAAAGCTCAGGCAGAAGCTTGACAACAGTTACCTAATAGTGACGGACAGACACAATGAAGTGTTGAATCCGAACTGTGTGAAAGGCATGTGGCGAGGGCTGTTCCGTGCTCGGCAGAAAGCTTTTCTCTGGCAGAAGAGTAGGACTGCTTTAACAGGGAGAGCAAAGTGATTCTGGATGAGATTGTAAGGACCTATAGAGAGGTCAGATACCCAAAACCCATTGACATTTAGGAAGAGACCTCCTTCTGTTTTCTGCCTTGCAGCGTCACCTTCTGGTTCAAAAAAGTTGTTTTCCACAAAAATCTACAGCCAAAATATTTGTCTGAGACAATCCCAGTACAGTGTAAAGCTCTTGAGATGTGTGGGTTGCTATTAGAAGGGGGAAACAGACTTAATAACATGGACAGAGTTACTTCTGGCACTTCTTGATGGTCTCTTGCCTCACATGAGGATAACATACCTCAGTTACCGTGCGACTCAAAGGGCAAATACTAAAGTGTCACAGGTGTGAAAACACAAGTCTAAAAGCAGAGGAATGGTCCTATTGTCAGTTTTATGCTTGCTTCACTCCTGAGTGGGTGTGAAGGCAAATGATTGCTCTTGGAAAGGCACATGGAGTGATTGCACACTGGCAGCCTGCTGAATCCAGTGAGGTGCAGGGAGTAAATGCTTCATCCAGCCAAACCCAGCGGGAATATGTTGGAGCTCTGACATTGTTTTGCTGACATGGGAAGATGTCATCATAGCAGAATACAGAGTTAACTAATACATTATGAAATGCATTTTGGCAGTGATGCAGACAAAGATTGTTTTGTTTGAAATGCAGTACCAGCAGTGTTGGTTAACAAGGTAATGCAGTCACCTTGCCAGTCTAAGTCATTATGTTGTGCTTTTTCTCTTCTAATATGTTAGATCCAAATCCTACAAAACAAGCTGCTTAACTTTAAGCCCATAGATAGTTCCTTGCTTCAAAGTTAACTTTAGTTTAATGTATGCTTCTGGATAGTAGCTGGTTGGAATAGCAAGCAGAAGTGCTAAAGGACACCTCTCTTGCATAGGAAGAGAAATTACAAGATACCAGTGTGGTTTTAAGGAAAAAAAGTATAAAAATGCAAGAAATTACTTTTTTAAACCCCTTGCCAGTTCTATTCTTTTGTAAGGTAAGAAATGAGCAGCGCTGTTCCATGCCTGCTTACATGCACTGCTGAGAGCTCAGTGCACAAAATTGCACAACCAGTTTCAAAATTGTTCTTAGCTAGTCCAGGCACTCTCGCTGTCCTTCCAAAAATAAGAGGCAAAGTTTTCAATGTCAAGGAGGACTAATAAACCACCTACGCTCCTTCATCTACTAAGATCAGGAGAGGCAGAATCCCTTACAACTCAGAAAGTCTAGCCATATATTTACTGCTGATACCTGACTTTTGTAATTGGGTTGGAAGACTGGCATTCAGCAATTTCCAGGGCTGAGAGGAAGATCTTCTATAATCTCCAGCTGAAAATCCAGCCCCATGGGCCCAATTCTTTACAATACTTCTACATAAGCCTGGGAGATCTCCCTTCTCACCAGCACTGCTGAAAACGGATTTTGCCGTTCAAGTAGCTGTTTCTCCCAGGTTGTTCACCATGATTGTACTCTCCTTAAAGTACATGGTAAAATTAGAAAACAGAAGTTATATTCTTCTGCAAGATCCTTGTTCATAAAAATCTTTTATGAGACCTGTCTTTTGCAGTTAGAAGCAGTGAATGGTTTGCTTTGAAAATATGAATTTAAGTCAAAGATTAGTCCACATTTCAAATATTAAAACAGATTCATAGATAGTGGTTCATCGAAACAAGTAAGACTATTCCAGTCTAGAGCAACTGAGGATATGGGTCTAAAAAAGGAACTGTGAACTCTAATTAGATGTAAGTAAAGAAATAGGGAGCTACTTTTCTCACACCTCCATGCTGCCTTGTTTGTTGATGTCATGACACTTAAATAAGTAGTAACTGGAATGAAGCCCGGTAACTGATTTATACTTAACATACCACTAGTTCTTACTAATTCCTGTAGTACACCTTAACATTAAGCACTTCCAAAAATGCTTAGGAAAATCATCCATTCCATGCTTCAGTTCCTCACAAATATCCCTGCTCCATTGTTTGTTCCTGGATATGTCTGTCAGGTTCACTGCTTTGGTAACTTTCCACTTTCGGACAATTTTATCAAGGATTGAGGCATGATAAAATTCAGAGGATGCTATAGTGTCATTTTCCCTCTGTTGAGTAGTAGTTTGACATGAAATCATTCTGAAATCATGCTGATGTTCCCAAAGTAAGGTGAAACCCTGCACAGAGAAGGCTGTCAGTATGGCTATTTTAATTTTAAGAAAGCACAATAATATATGTGCATATCTAAGAACAGATAGAAAAAAAAATCCTGTATATTGCAAGTTAAATTGTGGGTTTGATTTTGAAAACACAAGGCATCCTTTAGCTGCCAAATCGCCCATTTTTATATTTTTTATCTTCAATAAGGTTTCTGATAATATCACAAAGCCAGTCTTCATTCTTTGCCAAAGAGATCTGAAAACACTGGAACTAGTAAAAATATTTCTGTAGATCATACTGACCCATTAAATACTCAACTAACTTAAAAAATAGTAATAATTCCCATGATTAGCGGCTACAGCAGATCATGTCCGGATCCCTTTTTTTACTGTAAGCATAGGACATCTCTGCAAACAAAAGCAAAATTTGGCCTGGGATATAAGCAGAAGCTTATATCTCTGTATTATTTATTTCTTGTTCTTAGGCTGAGTGAAACTGAAATGAAATAAATACTAAAAGACTTTAAAAAAAAACCACACCAAAAAACACTAAAAAAACAAAGCAAAACAAAACACATCCAAGGCAGATTTCATGACAGCAGAACAAGTATCATTTTGAGTGGCAATGCACTGACAATAACTTTTGGCTTCAGTCCACATCAATCTGGAGGCCCAGCTACACAAGCCAAGCTGGCTCGGGATCACTTCTAAACAGACAGTTATCACCTTCAGTGTAATAATATTCCAGAGGTCCAAATCAGGACTAAGGCCTTTGCGGAGGTGCAACATGCTCATGCGGCGTAATCTTTCCTCTGCTGTTGCCCATGGCAAAAGTCCCTCTGTCTTCTCCGGTGTTAGAAGTCTGGCTGGCTTCCCCAAATTTTCATGCTCCCTGCCTTCTCCCCTCTTTTCCTCTTCATTCGGTTTTTCTGTGTGTTGTGGAATCTTACGGATTTTAATGCAATTCATCTTTTTCTCTTCCATTTGTCTACTTTTCCTTCCTTTACAGACTGGTTCTGAACCATCCCCTCAAGGACAAGTGGAGGAAACTCCTGTGAGCAATGAGAGGGGTGACGAGCCGGCTCGTCATGTGTTCTCCTTCTCCTGGTTAAACTCATTGAATGAATGATGACTCACTCGGGCTGGCTTCTGGTGTGCTTCTCCTTCGAAGGACCGTGAGTGCAGACAGCCTGGCTTCAATCAGCAAAGAAACTGGCCTGCAAAGGGACATCCGAGCAGGTTTCATTCCCAGGAACTCAGTTGACCTCCACGTCGTACCTGGCCCTCGAGAATGACAGTCCTGAGAGGGATGGGAACATGGGGTTGAATTACTTTTCTGTATTGTAGTTACAGTGTTTTCCAATATTTTCTTGTTTCCAAGGGGAAATAGCATCACCACAGCTGTAGGCTGAGCACCGCTAGAGTTTTGCTACTCACTTTTTGGCACATCCCCATGTACTGTAAATGCTTCACCAATGCCATTAGATAAAATGTTGGTATGATATTCACTAGTAGCATCCTTCATCAGAACATTTCAGTGCCCTCCTATATCCCCACTCATCGATGCTGGTGACTTCAGTGACTCTATTGCACCCTTGGCACTCCCAGGTCAGGGTTGTTCCTAAACACATCCCTGCAGTCACTTGTAGCCCCCACAGTACCAGTGCCTCCCCAGCTGCAGAGGCTGAACACAGGAGGAGAGAGGGAAGCTGCCATTTCTTCCTTTGCGCTTGCTCTTTCTGCTTAGCCACAACAGATGATGCTCACTTAAAACAGGTGTTTGTGGGGAAGGTGCCCAGTGGGAGGGATGAGGAAGATGTAGACACTGAAAGCACTGTCCAAGCCCCTGTGCATGGATGTGGGACACAGCTCTGAGCACGTGGGTCAGACGTCAGAGTGCTGCCCACGTCTGTCCAGCCGTAATCTGTGTCTATGTCTTCTCAGTCATCTGTATGTGTAGGAAATGGGACATGCTTTTGCATGAAGCCAGAGTTTAGTGAGGCGGTCACAGGTGTTCATTCAAGGTTTAGTTGGAAGGCCCTGTGGCATGCTGTAGAAAATGTGAATGCCAAATATCCTGTTCTGTGTGCGTGGCAGATGTGGAGCCACCTAATGAAATCAAATCTTTGTCTTAAGTTATACAAGTTGTGCTGAAGGTGACACTCTGCAAGTTTTGTCACTGGGGACAGAGCGTCAATGCTCACTAGCGTTTAAGAGAGGTTGGCACATTGCCAGGAGTGTTTGGTGTCATGGGGAATTCAGTGGCAAGCTCTGCACTAGGGTTATCTTTCCAGGAGCCCAACGCCAGGACCTAAACGCACTGTTTTGGCAGGGGACTGTGTCGGGCTGTAGGGCTTCACTGTGCCCCAGCAGGACTGGTGAGCTGGCAGTGCAGATGCAACACAGCCCCAGTCCTGGCCACCCCTCGCTACAGGGCTGAGTCACATCAACCCTCGTTTCTGTGTGTTTCTCCTGGAAAAAAAAAAAAAAAAGAACACTTCTGCGAGAGAAATTTTGGAGGGCTGCATAGGCAAGGTCTGTGCAAAGCTTTGAGACTGGTACAGTCCGTGGCAGGTTTTGGTCTGCACCACTGCCACCGCATCGCCTCTGGCTGCGGGAGTGGCTTTTCCCTGGGATTTGCTTTGAGATGAAGAGTTTCCTATTTTCTCCCGGTCATCTCGGAGGATTTCGCCCAGTCCCTCCTAGGAAGTTTCTCCACACACACCGTCACCTCCCCAGCGCCCCTTGGGAGGAAACTGGCTTAAGTACCGACGCCGAGGCGGGAGGAGATGAAGCGGGGAGGAACCTGCCCTTTTCGGGTGCAGGAAGGATGAGCAGAGGGAGAAAGAAAATGCAAAAAAAACATGCGGGAGCGCCTCACTGGTTTCCCATCACTGCGTTCTGGCAGGAGGAGGCTGCCCGGCCCCGGTCACAGCGGCAGAAGCCGGG